AGGGCGAGGCGGCTAGGATTGCCGAAAGGCTCATGGGTCGGGTAGAATTTGACACGAGCCGGTAGTTAGGGAATGTCATCGATCGGCACCGGGGCAAATGGATCGGGATGCACTACGACTCCCTGATGGCCCCGATCGCCATTCCCTTCACCCCCCTCCTAAATGCCTTCCTGGCCTATTACCGGGTCGTCCCGGCCCAGATCTGCCCCAATGCGCACCGGATCATCGCCTGCTTCCCGCAGATATGCGCTCGGCACGAAGCCGCCTGCACGATGGAGCTGTTCAACTTCATCTACCAGGTCAAAGTTCTCCCGGGCAACTATGGAGGCGGGTTCCTGATGCTGCAATCCCGGGCTGATATGTGCGCAATCAAAGGCCTGCCCGGGAACAACAGGGGGTGGAAGAATAGGATCTTCTCCCTCAAATACGACCCCTGGATCCTCCCGGTTGATCGCGCTTGGAGCACCCACTTTCGGAAACAAGTGGTGCCGGTCGCGACGCAAGCGCTAAGGGAAACGGTCAGCCGGATCTCGAGCGAGCTGCACGAGTACACAATCTTCCGGACGGCTGAAAGTCTCGAGGCGGCTGAACTCCCGCCCCCTACATACGAGCTACAGGAGAAGTATCTGCCCGTGCCGATGGGCGTGACAGTCGCCAAACCCGCGAGGCGAACGAAGAAAGGTTTAACTCGAGCTAACCCTCCCGACTCATCTTTTATGCCTCGATCACACTAACGATCTCTTTATTTTGCAGCTATGGCAGACTTCGGTGAAGAAGAGGCCCCCCTTCCCCCGCCCGCCAAGATCTCCCTCGGCGGCAAGAAGAAGAGCAAAGCGAAGCCGGCCGGGGAGAAGGAGATCCCCTTGGCCCGACCACTGAGCGCCTTGACCGTGACGACGGGCGAGGGCTTCATCGTCGAGCCCTCCGACGTCCTGATCACCCGGGTGGAAGTCGCCCGGGAAAAAGAGAAGGTGCCCGAGCAGGGCGTGAAGGAGGTGGGCGGCATAAAGCGCCGCCGCGAGCAACGAAGCCCGAGCCCTTCGGTCGGGCGAGAAAGGGACGGCTCGTCCATCTTGGCCCGCATTGGCAATGCGGGGCGGGCCAAGGAAGATCTGGGGAAGATGACCCCGACCCAGGTAGCCGAGAGGATCGGCTACGACCTAGCAGAGGTAAGCCTTCTTTAACTATCCATCTTTCATTTTTTGTGCAAGTGCCTTCATGAAAATGAAAATGAAAATGATACTGCTAATTATACGCGAGCAATATATAACAACACGAGATCAATTAAAGCAAGTAAATATCTTTATTGATCCCGGCGAAGGCCCTAAGTACAATCTACTTGGTTGCTCTGAGTGCCGACTGACTGCGGTCGGGATTCTCTAACAACAACCTATCGATCGTCCAAAAGTCCCTCCCACTGTAGCTACTGTGGGTATTTATAGCCGCTTATGCCGGGGACAAGATTCCAGTCGTTCGGCATGACCTCCACGTAGCCACCACGTGTCATCCTCCCGGGTGCCCTGCCTGTCGATGTAGAGAGCCGCCACGTGTCCTTCGTCAGCTCTTCCGCCAGAGGGCTACCGCTCGGTGGTCGACACCGTCGCTCGGGCAACTCCCGGTCGGTCTACGACCGGGTTCTTCTCGAGGAGCCCGACCTGTTGCCTGCAAAGACAAGGAAAAAGAGACAAGGCTCCCCGGTCGTGGTGAAGCTATGTCGGTCGGGATATTCCCTACCAAGTGGCGCTTGACGGCATTCGCCTCGCCGGCGTTGGCATAGTCTGTGACCCTCCGAAGGGCCTCCTCGTAAGTGGTCGGGGGGTGTAGGATGAAGTCCTGATACAAATGTCCCGCCCGGAGAGATATGTGAAGCATGTGGGTGGCGGTCGCATCGTCCATAGGCTCGACCTCCCCGACCGCCGCTTTCCATTTGACGAGGAAATCGGTCAAGCTTTCCCCTTCTAGCTGCTTGGCCTTCTCGAGATACATGTAGGACTTCCTCACCACTTTGGAAGTGATGAACTTCCTCACAAATTTGATCGCCAAGGTCTCAAATTTATCGATCGACCCCGGTGGCAGGGTACGGAACCACTCTGCCGCCCGACCGGTGAGGGTCGAATAGAAAGCCCTGCACATCACGGCGTCCGAAACGCCCTTCAGCATCATGTTGCTGAAAAAATCATTCACATGGGCCTCAGGATCTGCTCGTCCATCGTAACTCTTCTCCCCAGAGACCTTTAAGTCGAGCGGGTAAGGCTGGGCCATTACCGCTGCTGTGAAAGGCGTCTGGTGCAGGGTCGATTGGTTGACCGGGGGTGCTCCAGGGTACGCATTCCTGAGCTGTGCAACTTCCGCCTAGAGGTTATAGAGTAATCCTCGGGTCTCGTTGAGCTCGGCGGCTTGAGCGGCTTGGGCTGTGTCTCGAGCGCGTCGCCGTCGGTGAGATCTAGACCCGCTATACCCGGATGAAGCCTCCTGGCTAGCCTCCTGCATCTGTACGTCCTCTTGCCTGCGGTTCGGGTCTTGGGGTCCCAAACGCTGGCGCATCTCCGGTCGAAGACGATCAAAAGCTACCGCTCGGGCAACTTCTTCAGGGTCCTCCGCTTGGACGGCTTGAGCTGGTGCCTCCATCGCATCAGCACCCCCCGACCCCAACTGCGAATGAGCCGAGCGTCGAGCCCGGGATGCGGACTGACGCTGCGGCTCTACTTGTGCGGTCGGTTGTACTGGAGGGGCGGCGGCTGGAGCTGTATAAGCAGGCGTATATGGTGGATAGCCAACCGGGGAAGTGTAGCACATCGGTTGGCCTGGCCAATACCCATATGGCGGAGGTGGGACCGGGTACGGATACTGGGCGGGATACATCATCGGCTGCTGCTGGTATGGCAGACCAGGTGTTGGGTATCCCGGTTGTATGTAATTCACCGGCTGTTGGGCGGCCGGGTATGTATTTGACGGATGCGGTGGTGAGAGGTTGAGGTTGAGATCCATCGTCTGACCCTGCTGTTGGGTAGCATAGTGGTCGGAGGAGCTCGCCGCATCCGCCTAGTCGTCGGCAAAATTGTTGTGTGCCCACGGGTACATGTTGATGTAGTGATCGGGTGCTCGTCAAGACGTTGGTTTCTTGCATGGGTCCCCACGGACGGCGCCAAAATGATACTGCTAATTATACGCGAGCAATATATAACAACACGAGATCAATTAAAGCAAGTAAATATCTTTATTGATCCCGGCGAAGGCCCTAAGTACAATCTACTTGGTTGCTCTGAGTGCCGACTGACTGCGGTCGGGATTCTCTAACAACAACCTATCGATCGTCCAAAAGTCCCTCCCACTGTAGCTACTGTGGGTATTTATAGCCGCTTATGCCGGGGACAAGATTCCAGCCGTTCGGCATGACCTCCACGTAGCCACCACGTGTCATCCTCCCGGGTGCCCTGCCTGTCGATGTAGAGAGCCGCCACGTGTCCTTCGTCAGCTCTTCCGCCAGAGGGCTACCGCTCGGTGGTCGACACCGTCGCTCGGGCAACTCCCGGTCGGTCTACGACCGGGTTCTTCTCGAGGAGCCCGACCTGTTGCCTGCAAAGACAAGGAAAAAGAGACAAGGCTCCCCGGTCGTGGTGAAGCTATGTCGGTCGGGATATTCCCTACCATTATTGTTATTGTTATTATTATTATTATTATTATTATTATTATTATTATTATTATTATTATTAGGTATTTCAGTCATTGTATCACTTATTCCCTTTCAATTCAGTGTAATCTTATTTTGCATACCAAATACTAGGGGTGGGCACTTCGGTTCGGTTTATCCGAACCGAACCGAACTAGTAATAAAAACCGAATAGTTCAGGATTTTGTAATCCGAATGGTTTAGTACCGAACCGAACCGAAATCGAACGGTTTGACAAAAATCGAAACGAACCGAATGCTATATAATTTTTTTAATAAATAATAATAATAATAATAATAATAATAATAATAATAATAATAATAATAATAAAGAAGTAAACCCAAGTTCCTTGATGCTTGCTCCGCCGTTCAGTTCTCATTTTTACTGGTACTGAACCTTAAATTTTTTATTTGATTTCTTTATAGCTTGTTTTCTACATTGCACTTTTGTTGTTTGTCGCAATTGTTCTTTACCTCATAATTATATCTAACTTAAGTTATATTTACAATATTCAGTATTTTCCTTAGTTTCATGTTTTTCTATAAATTTAATGTGTTTTACAGTCATTCTAATTTTGATTTCCAGTGCATTATAATTATTTTCTAGTACTGGAATATATTTCGAGTGCACTAGCAATGACAGATTGTGTCCAAAATTAACTATATAGTAATTGACACTTATTCTTTTAATATCAACTATACAGATAGATGATTATTCTTCTTATCAATAAAAAATATTCCAACTGAATATTTTTATTTGATGTTTCATGTTTGTACTCTTTAAACATTGGATTTAAAGTTTGAACTACGTGATTCATGTTTGTAATGTTTGAACTTTGAACTTTGAAATTTGGATTCTAATTTCTAAGTATGTGATGTTTTGGTAATTAGATTGCTATTAGTATGTGATGTTAGTATTTACTATTTAGTAGTATGTTTAAACTTTGAATTATTATTTTGTTACATAACGTTTATATTTTAGATGTGGATTATGTGAATAGGTATTGATTGGTAGTATGTTTGGAAAATTATGAAATGTTTAAATTTGATGATCGTAGTTCTCGTAAAGTCTTAAACCGAACCGAAGCCCGAACCGAAACCAAACCGATTGAAATCGAACCGAACCGAAGCCGAACTATAATGTTAAACCGAATGGTTCAACTTTTCTAGAACCGAAAAACCGAAACCGAAAGAAACCGAACCGAAGACAGAAATGCCCAGCCCTACCAAATACTGTAATTTGAATTCCTACTTTATTCCTACCTTATTCTTTTCCCACCGAATTAGAATTCATTTCTACCCTAATTCTTTTCTTCCAACCAAACGGCCAAGAGTACAATAGTATTGCAGGGATAAAGATAAAATTAGAAAATGATACACGTACAGTCAGCACAAGTACAAGCTAAGAAAGGAGAGGCAGGCCATCCAGCTAGCAGTAGGCCTAACTAATTAATCTCCATATTATTCAAAGATACACATCACACATTACAGCAAACTAACTGTAGTGGTGGATTATATTGAAACACGTTTTAATTTATTCTTGATAGATGCATATATATATATATATATGCTTGGACCGACGACCACCGTAGCATATACCGGCGCCGGCCGCCGGATCTAATTAACAATAGATGCAATAATCTTGCGGGGCAACGACGATGCTTCTTCCTCTGGGCAATAGGCAAATCCAGTTTCATCGATGAGTATGCAGTGTTGTTCTTTTGCTACGCAACAGTTTGTGCAAATACCACCAACTTCCTTCACCTTTGACTCCCCCTCAGAAGCATAAGGGCAGATCATATACTCTGCCCTACCGTCACAGTTCTTCGTGCAAGCTTCTGCATGCTTCACCTGGCTTCCAACCACCACAATAATAATGCCTGCATATATATATAATCATAAACCCGGGCTAAGACGATGCCATATATATATATATATATATATGGGCAAGCTCAAGCGATCAAGAATGAATGTTCTACAGAAAAACTGAAACTGAGAATCAATCCTCTCTGTCGATCTAGGAAGATCAACGACGGGGCGGAGCCAGGATTGAATAGTGCGGGGGGCAACTACGGTTGAAATACTAAATCAAATACATTGATATCCAGTTAACATATTTCAAAATAATCAGTACATTACAAATTTAGTAAAGTTTGAATAAATAATTTATAATTGAATTTATATTAAATTATTTTGTAATATGCTTTTCAATGCACATTGCTTTGTACGGTTGAAAAAATGAAAACATTCACGCATGTTTTAAAAAGACCCTTATTATTCTTGAAAACTACCATCTTCATAACATAACATAATAGCAATTGTTTTCTTAAATACATATACTACACAATTTTTACATTATTATGCATGTTAAATTAAATACAACTAACATTTATTAGGTAACCACAAATCTGCATAATTAACCAAACAAATGCACATCCATATCCATTATTTAGAATAAAACAAAACCACTATTTAAAATAAACAATACAATATGAAACAAAAATTAACCAAACATGTAGTTAGAAAAAAAAACAGAAATTAACTTGAAAATATGCATAGATTTTGATGACAAATTATCTTGTTATACCGTATATACCGCATATATGTATGGTTCTAGAGAGAAAAACTAGTAGCTAGGTTAAATGAGGTTTAATTTGAATATGAGTCAACAATATAGTGAATACATAATTTGATATTGGACACAGCGGAAGATGTTGAGAAGATGAAGAAGTTTATAACTTAGCTTGTAAAATTAATTTATGTGGGAGTGGGGCCAAATATTTTGAAGGAACAACCAAATTTTAATATTTTATATAATATTTTTTTTAAAAAATTAATATTAAATTTAATATTTAAAAAAAATTAGGGTGGGGGAGGGGGGGGGGGGGTAAGGCCCCCCTTGGCATACCTTTACCTCCGCCCCTGGCCACCTGCATGGTGCAGGGGGCTGGCCCCCTCCCCTCAATTTTTTTTTTTAAATAGTATACTACTTATTTTGGTATTCTCCCTCTTCAAAATATTTAGTTCTTCCCAATCAATTTTGTAGATTAAATTTTCTATTTTCTAAGCTTTTCACAATATTAATTTTTATCCTCTTTAAGGAGTGACCTGGTTATATATTTTTGAAATTTTGAATCTTTTGATGAATTACTGATTTTGTATATTTCATTTCTCTTCAAGCAATATTCCTTGAATAACTGCATTCATGGCAGCTTCGGTCTTCCAAGTCAAAGAAGATCATGATGATTACATAAACAAAGAATTATATATATACGATAGATATATTCATTTGAAAGAAAGAATTAATTAAGATTAGCTCAAGCATAGGGTGATTATGTATATATCACGTGCATGCACAGTATTAAAAAAAAATATTAGTCTGCTACTCGGTTTTAGTAGATATTGTAATGTAATAATGTATGTTAAAATATTAAATAAATATTAATATATTTAATTTTTTTAATATTAATATATTTAATTATTCACTCTTAAATTGTAATTGGCCCCCGCATCATCTAATCCTGGCTCCGTCCCTGATCAACAACAATTATATTATCTCAAACTTTGATGGGGTGTTTGGCCCCAACACATCATCTAATTGGCCCCCGCATCATTTAAACTTGAGCACTAGTTTTAGGCTTTATTACCTGATTCGATCCATATCCTATATACATATATAATATATATTGTTGTAGGTTTATCCTTAAAAATTATAACTAAGGTTTAAGGTAATATTATGGAAGAAGACATACCTAGCAGGAGAGTGACAAAGCCAAGTTTGGTAGTAGCCATGGAGGGTACCTTAAATCTTCACTTGTTGGATGTATGGAATTTGCTTAGCTTGATGAATGGATAGTGTTATTCTATATCCCATTTATAGCAGTCAGCTAACAAAAAATCACAGATGAGACAAAAGTTAGGTCATGTGCTAGATCGGAATATTTATTAGGAAAATGCTAATTACCATTAATTTTAATTTACCACTCACAAATGAATTACATGATGTGGCAAAATCTTGGATATTATAATAATTATTATTATTTTAATTTTAGTTTTAATTTTATTAATAGCAAGGATTGGCAGTGCTGATTTGTGTGGTAAAATTAGAGGTGTATAGCATAATTCTATTTATTATACTTTTGTATATTATTGGTAAAATTAGAGGTGTATAGCATAATTCTATTTATTATACTTTTGTATATTATTATGTGGATCGTGGCCCACATAACTATGTGGATCATACTATTAAATAATGTACATTCAATACACAAATAATGTACTTTTAATATATTAAAAATGTACATTGTGAGTACATTATTTTGTATAATGTAATTCAATATACAAATAATGTAATTTTAATATATTAAAAATGTACATTTTGTTATGATCTAGTGATCCACACAGCACTGTGTGGACCATGGTTCACGCAATAATTTGCCTATTGTTTGATACATTAGTTATGTACACAGGAAATTCATCTCCACAATTCCACCAACTTGGGAGCCTAATTTCTAATCTAAGAAGCCAAGGATCTAAATTCCCAATAGTTATGTTGTGCAACCGAATGCACCATGCGCATGGTGCATATGATGCAAAACGACGTCGTTTTGACTAAAAACGCGCGTCCCACTTAAAAAAAAAAAATCGGGTTCGATTCTCGGCAATAGCATTATTGTGGATATATAGTTATGAATTTCTGGATATATAGTTAAGAATTTTTGGATATATAGTTATGAATTTATGGATATTTAGTTCATTCATTGTGGATATTTAGTTCATTCATTCACTGTGGATATATAGTTATGAATTTATGGATATATAGTTATGAATTTATGGATATTTAGTTCATTCATTGTGGATATTTAGTTCATTCATTGTAGATTTTTACTTCATTCATTCACTGTGGATATATAATTATGAATTTGTGGATATATAGTTATGAATTTATGGATATATAGTTATGAATTTATGGATATATAAAAATGTTATTGCCGGGAATCGAACCTGATTTTTTTTTTTTTAAGTGGGACGCGCGTTTTTTAACCAAAACGACGTCGTTTTGCATCGAATGCACCATGCACATGGTGCATTCGGTTGCACAACATAATTTGCGCTAAATTCCAATATTTTTACCATGAACCATAATCCATATTTCTTTGTGAACCTTAACCCAAAAATTATGTGTCTACAGTTAACATATTTTGACTTTTTGTCTATTTTCTTTAATATAATACCATGTACTCTATCCATCTATCTCATTTTATTTAATTTGTCTCCTTATTATTATTATTATTATTATTATTATTATTATTATTATTATTATTATTATTATTATTATTATTATTTATTCATTCATTCATTCATTCATTCATTCAACTCCTTTTAAAAAATATTTAGTAAATTTATAATTAATTTTAAGTAAAATATTACTCCTTTGTTCTATTTTGTGTTGGATCAATTAATGATGAGTACTCTTTAATTTGACACACATTATTTACAATTCAATTATTTAATATTTTTTGAGTACTACTGACTGTTACAAATTTATAATGTAGTATCTGTTCATAACTTCTTTCTTAACCTATTGAAACACAAAGAGTCAATACAGTCTCACTGCGACTCGAACCCATGATGTTCATAACTTCTTTCTTAACCTACAGAAATACAAAGAGTCAATATGGTCTCCACAGAGGCTCGAACCCATGATCTCTCATTTGGGAGAGCCACTTTGTGCCAAATGGCAATACACAAATTTAATATTTACTTTAGTGTTATTACATAATATTTATATTTGAAATCTATAGCAATACACAAATTTAAAATTTTGTGTGTATAGAAGTACCACATGAAATGTTTAATACTTTTTACTTAAAACGTACGGAGTAATACATTTTATAGATTCATAGAAAAACTATGAGATAATACATATTTATGATCTCTCATATTTTGAAGTATTTTTCTATAACTAGTTAACTACAAAACACACATTTTCTTAACAATCTAATATATATCAACATCATATTGTATATAATTTTCTAACATCTACCATCATTTTTTTTTAACAAATTAACAATCTGACATCATATTTTTAATTTTCAAACAACCAAGTTGAAATAAATAATTTTATATTTTGGGAGCAAGTAGGTATAAATAGAATCTGCCAAGCACCTTGTACTCAGATGACATGTAGTGACCTCTTCCATATGGGAGGTTATAAGATCGAGTCTCAGTGGAGGCGTTGTTGACTCTATGCTTCATAAGATTGAAAAAATATGTCTGAATAGATACTACAATGTAATAGAGTAAAAAAAAAAGTGTAAATAGAATCTCCAGTAATACCAAGACTATGTGGTCTAATGGTACCCGGGTTGGACTTCCATTTGGAAGATTATAAGTTTGAGCCTCAGTGGAGGCGTTATTGGTTCTTTGTGTTTCAGTAGGTTGAGACTACATTGTAATAGAGCCAGTAACATTCAAAAAGAATATCCATTAATATAATAAATAAAAAGAACGTAATATAAATTCATATATTTAAAAGCAAGTATTATTCACGTGTACGTGTCCAAAACCGAGTATATATATATTTAAAATACCGAGTACGTGTCCAAATTCGTTCTTATCTACTACGGAGTATTTTATATATCATTATGTATCACGTGTATTTAATTCAAATATTCAATTATGACATGGTAACGATCGAGTGTCCTATCTGGTTCTTGTCCATTATTTATCATCACGACTCATATGTATTTTTTTGAATGCCGTCTCATATGTATTTAATTTAATCTATACTATATATAAAAACAAAATCCTCAAATTTTAACTTCCCGTCCAATTCCTAAAATATCTCTCTTCCTAATAAAATATATTGATTTCTACTTTCCCATTCGTACAATAATTCTGAGTAAAAATTCTATTCTAATATTATAAAATAGTGTAATACAATCTATATCTATACTATATATAAAAACAAAATCCTGAAATTTTAACTTCCCGCCCAATTCCTAAAAAATCTCTCTTCCTATAAAATATATTGATTTCTACTTTCCCATTCATACAATAATTCTGCGTTAAAATTCTATTCTAATATTATAAAATAGTGTAATACAATCTATACTATATATAAAAACAAAATCCTCAAATTTTAACTTCCCGCCCAATTTCTAAAAAATCCCTCTTCCTAATAAAATTTATTGATTTCTACTTTCCCATTCGTACAAATTCTAATATTATAAAATAGTGTAATACAATCTATCTATACTATATATAAAAACAAAATCCTCAAATTTTAACTTCCCGCCCAATTCCTAAAAAATCTCTCTTCCTAATAAAATATATTGATTTCTACTTCCCATTCGTACAATAATTCTGAGTTATAATTCTATTCTAATATTATAAAATAGTGTAATACAATCTATACTATATATAAAAACAAAATCCTCAAATTTTAACTTCCCGCCCAATTCCTAAAAAATCTCTCTTCCTAATAAAGTATATTGATTTCTACTTCCCATTCGTACAATAATTCTGCGTTAAAATTCTATTCTAATATTATAAAATAGTGTAATACAATCTATACTATATATAAAAACAAAATCCTGAAATTTTAACGTCCCGCCCAATTCCTAAAAAATCTCTCTTCCTAATAAAATATATTGATTTCTACAATAATTCTGGGTTAAAATTTTATTGTAATATTATAAAATTGTGTAATACTATTCCTATTCTAATCTATATCTATTTTATATATCAGTGTTGCAAAAATCGTGTCTCTGGCCGCGGCGAGGAAGGCCGGAATCGGCCTCCTCAGTGGCCGCCTCGCCGGCTGAACCGGCCTTTAAATTTTATATATATATATTTTTTAAGTTGTCAAAAGTTCGGCACGGCATAATTTTTGACTCCGTTGTCCGTTTTGGACGAATGTTTTTTTGAAATCGCGTATTTTTTCGAGAGTTAATGCCATTTTTGGTCCTAGACTTATTGGGGCATTAACACTTTTGATCCTCCATAATAAAAATTGCCACTTAGTAGCCACTGTTATTGATTGTTAGACAGTTTTGATCCTCCGTCAATGACGCCGTCTGTTGACCGTGAATTAGAAGGGTTTTTCTGTCTTTTTATGTTCTAATCCTTGTATTTATCCATCCATTGGTCACTGCTACATCCATTTCTTCAAACTAAGGTTATCCGCTTCAGTCCTTTCTTACATTAAGAAACCATCTTCACCCAACTAACAATCACGAATTTTACATTTGACATCAATCTCAAGATGATGGAAACAAGTGCAGTTGGAATAGAAAGGGCGTTAGTCCATGCCTGTGGAAATTTTGTCGAGCATACAACATAACTAGAAAAGTCAGGAATATCACTCAACCCCTCCCTTAACCTTTTTGCATCAACTATAATAGGTATGCCCATACTCTTTGCCTCCTGCACTACAATCAAAGCAGTCTCATGCAGCCTTCCATCTAAGTAGACAATATTTACTCCAAGCGCTGAAGACAATTTTGATTTGGGTATGTAAACCCTCAGATATCATGGGTGGATATCCTGGAGTGAAAATGCACGTGCGAGTTTTTTTTTTTTTTGGTTGTCAACAATGACATATGTGAATGGTGAGTTTCCTCCTTTGGACACCACCATAAAAGATGTATCAACACCATCCCTTTCAAGCTCATCAAGTATTCTTTCGTCATGCGAGTCATCAGCAACCTTAGATATGATCCTTGGATTAAGACCCAGACGAATTTTATCATCCGGGTTTTATCAAAGCATTGCCAGTGTTACCACCTCCTTGAACCTCAAAGCTGGTGCTCCGAATTTTATCATCCGGGTTGG